AAGAGCAAATAACCCGAAAAAAGCATGATAAAATGTTTTAATATATAAGTATAAAGATATTATTGATAGTATTGCAGAGAAATTGTGATTCACTTGATGTGTAGGTAGTATTATCTAACATAGACAATGAATCACGACTGATGTCCTTACATATATATATGTATATATAAAGTAGATATGTATATGTGTGTATATGTGTACTTATTTATTCATTTATATTATGCATATAATCCAATAGCTACACTTCCTAACGAACACACTAAATGGTTTAATGTATCCACTATGATGTCTATCTCCAAGAAGAAATACATAACCGTGATAGTTTCTGAAAGGACAAAAACATGTGAGAGAACATAGACCGCTTTAATCTACTAATGGGCTTCAAATGAACGACCATCCTTTCACCGATGTACTGATATCAAGAGCAAATGGGAAATGTATTAATCTAATCTTATTATTTTGCGTTTGTTATTATTTTTTGGTATTGGTATTATTTATAAAAGAATATACAAATTGTCAGTGTATAAGGAATTTATCTTCAAATATCAAAGCTGTTAACGATGAGATTATTCCATTTTCAGCTGTAAGACAGAAAACCATCAACAGTCATTGTATATAGGTCTGTTATTACGCTATGCTTCGATATAGCACAACAATTGTCCGCTATCAATGGGATAACAACACAAACACTTTAATTAATGATATCTTGACTTGAATATTTTGACACATTGTGTTCACTCACACATACGATTTTGCCCATTATTCTGAAGAATAAAATCCTCATAGTTAATAAATATATATCGATAAAATTAATCGCTAAGAGATTAAATGCAGTAACTTGTGATGAAAATGATACTTAACTTTCAGTTGGGTTCATTTATTTAAGACGGAATCGTCTTTCATTATCCAAAATACGTTCTCAACTGAGGAAAAGACTGACAACTGAAAAATGATCAGGTAAAACGTTCACTTACCAACAAACGTTGATTGATACTGGTAATCCATTTGTTTCATCGTTTCTGCGTCTTACCAGATATTGTAAAAGGCGTATTTATGGTTTACAGTAAGAGGGCAGAAACAGGAATGGTATTCGTTCTGGTGAAGAACATAACTAAAATACGCAGGGTTCGACTTTTGCCTCTGACAGACAGGGAAACAACATCAAAGCTCTGAAACCCTGAACTGAACTGTTGACTTCACACTTCCATACTACTTATGGCAAAACACTAGTCATGAGAAAGAAGGCAGAAAGGACGAGGTTCAGGCGCTTTAACGGTGGAATGCGGTGTAAAAATCGCTTGGGAAATAGGGAAAAGGGCCATGAAGACGTTAGCCTCTCGCACATGACCAGTGGCATCCAATGACAGGCGATAGTGGCTCGTAAAAAGGACCATTACGAAGTTGTAAATTGTCTTCTAACAAAAAGGAATTTAGACTGCTGCAGCAGTTGTGTTCTGTTTTTTTTTCCGCATAATGACGGAAGATATTCGCTTTTTGAAGAAAATCTTAGTAGATAATATTAAAAAACGAAATCGATAACTGCATCTAAAATATTATGCTATTATGTTTAATTTCACACAAGTAATATATAAGAAGCCTATATCAAAACTGTACAAATACATAAGATACCTGTAGAACAATAATTCAAATAATGTGCAGGAAAAAAAAAACACGGAACGTAGTCTATTCCATTACTTTTTAAAAAATACTCTCGACTTATTTTGGTTGAAACGTGTTCAAGATATCGACTAATGCCTACAATTTGATTTAGAGTTTTCTTTCAATTTAGAAAAAAATGTTGAAAACCTACATTGAAATTTTTGAGATATTGCAGGGAAAAAAGGATTCATTTAGACTGGCGTCCTGCACACTGTTGGCATGATGTTGAGAAAATAATACATATCCACATGTTAGCATACTAAACTCTTTTAAAGATGGATATCATTCATTTGTTCATTAATTATCCTGTTCTATTACCAGAAATTTGGTCAAAACATACGCACGACATATAGACCCTACCAAATAATTGGGAAACATTATATATATATAAAATTTGTTTCTGCTTTTCTTGCTACACAGACATACACACACACACACGTATGTTCGTGTGTGTGTGTGCGATTATTAGGATTAGAGTTTGTAACTCCTACAGGCGAATTTAAGCAGTTCTATTACAACCAACTCTAAGTGATATATCTAAGCTAAAACTCCATGTGTGTGTGTGTGTGTTTCTGTATATAAAGCTTCATAGCAAAAACATGGGTTTGCGGGTACTCAAGAGATTACCTTGGAAATGATCTTTGTTACGCCAATAACGAAAAAATGTCCGTGGTCCGGCCCTTCTTTAATATTAGAATTAGAGTCTTTTACTCCTATTGGCGAATTTAAGCAGTTTTATTGCAACCAACTCTAAGTGATATATCTAAGCGAAAATTCCATTTTAACTCTATTCATATGTGGCCATCTGACTTTGGGGATTTTTGTCACCCAGCGGCCTGTCTGTGCTCGTGTTTTCTATTAGTAAGCTCAGCAAATGTGGGATTTTGCTGCATGTGCAATGCATCCCAGAGATAAAAGACAAAATTACACATAAAGCGAATTCTGATTTGATTTTCTTTTTCTTTTTTTTTTAGATTTTCTGTAGAATAATACAAATAACAGATAATCGAAGTTTATATGGGAGATATTTTTGTTAAGGAACAAAACGCGCGTCTGTGAGAGTGAATGGCCATGAATGACGTCCCACACATTCCTTGAAATTAACCATAAAACCATAAGGGAAGGAATAACCGCGGTGACGACGAAGGCATTTTGAAAAGATCAGTCTATGACTGAAAAATGATTGTTAAACCCCGTGTGGACTTTCGGGATATGAAAAAAAATGTGGGGAAAATAACAGCTAAATATGCTGAATATGACTAGATTTTATCCGCGGAAGTAATGGCCGCGTAAACAGAAATAGTTAAAAATGTTTTGTTCTATAGTAAGTGCTCTTATTTATTATTATTATGATGATTATTATTATTATTAGTAGTAGTAGTAGTAGTAGTAGGAGTAGTAGCATGGAATACATTCTAATAATAATGACAATAACAATCTACGCCAGACACCTATCAAACACATACATACAAAATCCTAAAAATACTCCTGTTAATAATAATAAGAATTATTATTATAATAATAATTATTATTGTGTTTTTTTCAATTCCGATATTTCGTCAAATAATTTTCGATGTTTACATTTTTGCGTTTGCGGCGGAAACATATATTCTGATTTTATAATAATCAAAAAACAAAAAATGCAAATATACTTTAATTGTTCGAGATGGATGATTCAAAAGCTAAAAATTTAAATTACTGATATTTACGGTAGATCTATGCAAGTCAATATCCGATGATATAGGCTACTGCTGCCAGTGTCTCGAAAAACCGCGGCTACCGAAACTTACGTCACATCTCTATACATGTGCTGGTTTTTAGTTTAAATTACAATCTGCCATGCAAAAAATCAATTCGAGCGAAAAATAAACAGCAAAATCAAACAAACCCAACAACAGAAAGAGAAAAATTAAAAACATGCAGTTCAATGGTACGACCTGCAGACGTTCTTCAGTAGAACAACAGTGCCCTCTAGTGGCTACATGATTAATTACTATAGCACCGCTCAACTTCAATGGAACCAGTCCGGATATCCAGTTTTCTCCCAGACCAGTGTTACTATCTCAATATATAATAACAGAGAATAAATATTTACATTTTAACAATTTTTGAGTTACACATTAGACTTTATATCTGTTTCCAAATGTAGGTATGCATTTTTGAGATATATTTAAATTTAACCTTAAAAAACTTTTCGTTTCTAAGAATTTAAGAACTTTTCGTTTCTAAAAATGGATGTTAAGACATTTTAACATATTTTATGTAAAAGTACATTATACAATTTAAGATGAGAATGGAAAGTATGTTAGCTGAGGTATAAGGGAAATAAAACGATTTCGATCGTTTCAGTTCTGAATGAATAGAAAGGTCGGGATGCATAAATGCGAATTCCTGTGTATTTCGGGAACTGATTCCTGCTTCGAAGTGCGAACAGATAATTTATCGACCAGACACCTAGTAACAAAAGTGTCTACATTTTAGCTTGTCACCCACAGACAAAACACCCAAATAAAATAGTTTCAAAGACGAGTACAATTACAACCCTCCTCCATAAAGCCATTTAGACCAGACGTCTAGCCAATCTCTATGGCTTTATTGGGCCCAGTTTCTTCCTGCTTTAAAGTAATTCTAGGTAAAGGTTTGCCAATAAACCGGGATCAGAGCAACACCTTTCCCCAATCATAAACAATTTATTAGTACCATATCACTCAACAAAACACTACTAAATAAACGCGGGTAAATTGTTGACCGGTTCCTTAGACCAGTTGCCCAATAGGGCTATATCAAATCGCAATTTGCTAAAATATAAAATGTAATATAACATCCCAAGTTACAAAGGTACGCATGTTCAGGTCGTTGCATGCTTAGTAGCAAAATACAATTTGTAAAACGTTTAGAAACACTATTAACTTGTGAAATATTACATAAAGAGCATTTATCTAAGTTTCATGCTGAAATATTTCGGTTTAGAGCGTTTTTCATCCTCCCACAGTTTATACCGATATATCCTCGATGTGAAAGTCATATTTTTTTAACAAAAATGAAGAAGGTGAAACCACGAAGTACACGTAGGGGTATTCGCAGAATGAGAACTGAAGGGTAACTAAGCTACTGCACTAAGTACTACAGACAATGTTTTTCTAAGTAAGATTAAATTGATGCATATTGTGACTTAATCTGAGTAATGAGGCATATGTTTTACATTTACTTAATAAACTGCAGGCCAACAAATTTCAACTCATGGTTGCATTACCTTGCTTTGTCCCTGATTCAGGTATATAAGAGCATTAAACACAACATTATGTCATCAAGAGACATTAAATAAAATAGACTCTTACCCGTTGCCAGAAATGTAAATTTTATAAGGTATTGGACATTATCCTACATATAATTAATAAAAAATTATATTTAGACATTGCATCTATGCATTTTCACAGGCCTGTTATACATACCCAGTTCGAAATTCTTAATGCAATATCCACCCAAGAAAATTCACATATATACGCTTTGTGTTAGCTTTTCATCTTTGTAATTTAGAAAACAACACGTTTATTATTCTTTTCTGAATATGTACATACTGATTTTGCGCATGTTCAAGAAATAACTATTACAACCGTTATAGGCTACACATAGCTGCAACCGTTACCATACAATTAAGCACATTTCCCAGGTAATTATAAACTAACTTATATATTAAGTATTTTCGTGATCGGATAACAACTGGATTCGCAGTTACAGTGTAGGATTAATTTAGACTCAAAATTTATTTTTGTTGAAAAGCAAGAAAACACAAATGTAGACAATTTAACCGTTCCATTAATTCTACGAACAATTTAACAGAGAAACTAAACAGTCATATCTGATACACAAACTTCTATGAAAGTTTAATTCTAACACATTACTTGTCACCATATACACACCTAAGAGAGAAAGACTTTAGAGTTCAGTTCTTGTCCTTTCATTCCAGCGTAAGTCATTGTTGATCCTTATTACCCCTCTCTCTTGTCATCTTTTTCATTTTCATTCTTCTGTTCTGGAACCAGATCTTCACCTGCCTTTCAGTTAAATTAAGAATTCTAGCGACTTCGTAGCGACGATCCCTTGTTAGGTACATATTATATAGGAATTCTTTTTCCAGTTCTAGTGTTTGAAATTTCGTGTACGGACATCGCTTCTTTCTTGTTGAGCGAGCATGAATCCAGTTAGCAGCCGGGTTGCCTGGAATAGAATAATGGTAACTTTTAAAACTCAAAAACACGTAAGCACAACTAAAAAGCTTAACAGATTACGTGAAACTCACAGACTTCAGTATAAGTGTAGGATCGGCAAGTGTAATAATGTAATATTTGCAATTAGCACACAAATTGCAGTTGTGAAGATAGTTCATTCGAACTAGCTATAGTAAGACTCTGGACATTTTTATTGCTTAGTAAAACCCCCAGTTTTACACACACTGCTCGCACAGTTTCTGGGGCTGTAAATCAAGGAGCAATTTCTTTTACTTACTTGGGTCAAGTTGCTGCTGTTTCTCTTCTCTGGGCTCGCTTTGACTCGAAATATCGCTGCCAGCTGGTTCTTTAGTTGCATTGTCTTTACTGTCTGGTACCGCTCCACAAACATATTCAGGCACTATCGGAGTCTGTGCCTCGAAAGTAGAGCACTCAGTCCTTTTCGACGGTAAACTTTCAGGCTTCGTCCCGTAATGCCGACTGCTTGAATGGAATCCAGAAAAAGACACAGAGTTCGATATAGGGTCTATCCATGAGCGAACGTATCTGTTATCTGCCGCTGTAAGGTGGGACTGTGGCACGTATGGATGGTAAATTCCCGACACTGCGGCCGTGGACGGTGGGTGAACCGAGGACCAAGACGTAGGGAAGACGGCAGACTTTGGTGCATAACTGCAGGAAGAAAAATCAGCATTATCCCCTACACCTGATGGCCTTGAGGTCGTGGCGTGCGAGCCCTGGACAAAGCGAGCTCCGTACACATCATCTGCTTCGTGTCCAATTATGGAGTCCACATAATAATTACTAATTGTACTACTGGTCGACATTTTTGGATCCCTTCGTAGTCATATAAAAGGTTACACTGTTACAGATACCTTCTCTCTGAACAATCATAGTATTTTTGCTGGCTTCATCTTCAGCTATTGGTTGCATGAATCACGTGACCATATTTACCAATAAAGTGAGTAAATCAATCCGCATATAACGGTATTTTAAATTTCGACATATTATCACTAACGCGAACCGTACTTTATTTAACTGTATATGACGCCTTTAATAAGTAAAGTAGTTGCTAGATCTACTTGTTTAAACAAACATTACAGCAAAGGGCGGCCCGGGACTATTTCTTTACGTCGGCTAGAAAAAAACACCCATTTATTTCATAACCACCCCTCTGCATTGATGCTTTGGCAAATTATTTCAAATGTGTGTAAAATCTTACAAGAAATCGCCGTGATATGTCGCGCACTCGACTCTTGTAAAATATTTTTATAGGCTCGTCAGTTGTAACTCCTCGTAAAATGTTCGTAATAACATGCTATAAAATGAAGAATACGGTTTTTAACGGATTTGCGAATAACTTTTTTTCTGCTGTTTGTTCCATAGTCATCCGATCACGTTTGTTCAGGTATTGTTGTATATGTGGCCTAAGAAGTAATCTTTGTGTACTGATTGTATTTATTAGGAAGCACGTCATAATGTTTTTATGTCTATCAATAAATTTTTTATGAGGTGCATTTGATTATACATTAATGTGCCCTTAATAAAAACGGACTCTTGCAGTTACTAAGTGTCTGCACAAAGATGTTCAATAGTTTTTCTTCTGGAAATTTTTTTTTAAGGCCTGATACCAAAGGTTTACCATGCAGTGCAAAACATACAAGAAATATTTTTCCATATTGACAATTCCTATACGCGTTACTCTGGCCAAAAGATTAGGGTATATATATTACATTGTCCGTGTATGTGTGGAAACGGTTTTATAAATATGTAAATTGCGTACGAGTTGATTATTCTGCACCATTTTTGTGCATATTGTTACCCAGGGTGTTCGTTACCAGATACTAAATTATCTACATGAACATTTGGTGAGAAACTACATCGAAATTTAAAAAAGAAATCAAGTCTCTAAATGGTAATACCTACCACAGTAAATCTATATTTTGTTTTGTTTTTTTTTTCCTGCACAACATAACTACAAATAACGCAAATATGTAACATTTTATAAACGATACCTCTGAACGCCAGAAAGTCTAGATTTCCGCTGTACAAGCATATATAAACACATAGACGGTAACATAAATATAAGTGCATATAAGCTAAAAACTTAACCAAAAATATTTTTATCCATCCGTTTCCAGAAAAGCAGCTTATTTAACTTGTAGGCAGCTTATGCGTCAGGCCTACTGTGTGATAAATATCAATTGTGTGTCTTTGTGTCAATATATTTATATATCTATAAACATGTAATTTTTACAGAAATGTAATTTACCTGCATTTGTGGTTTATTCGTTTGCACCACGTTCACAACGCGTGGTTTAAAGTAAGGAATGATCAAGTTCGAATGCTGAATGAAGAGCCGGTCTTTTGTACACTTAAACATGCGTAGTGGTGCATACATTATTATACATACTAAAATGTAAGTAAAATATTTATTAACATCAGATGTAACGTCATCGCTTTTTGCTAAGTAATATACATCCACTTTTCACAATTATACTTCACATCCTGCGCAAAGTAATGAAAACTGCGTATATCAGTATCAAACGTAAGATACCGTGGTGAGTCCTCAGTCATCTGGAATTCCACTTGATAAACTTGATAAGCGTGACTGATTAAAGAAAATGTGAAGATTTTATTAACATATAGGAAACAGGCACCAAAGCTTGTATAGCATAAAAGATAACGTTAATAATAATATAAATAACAATTAGGTACAGTTTCCTCTGTAAAACTAAGGACTCGAATATATAGCGAAAAAATTAATTAATTTTCTATGAACACGTAGGGTATTGGATAAAATTGCGGCTAATATTTGTTTATTACATATTATATATTACAGTATAGTATAATACTTATAGTATATTTACTATATGTTGTGTGTCTACGTGAAATTACGATTATTTCAAAGACAACACACATGGTTACTTGTTATATGGTATTTAGAAATGTCGGCATTATTTTGTGAAGGTTACATTTTGTATTTGGTGAATTTGTAAGTGTTTTGGTGTTTACATCGGTAATGGTATTATTGTTACATTTTTAATTTGAATAATCCAACTGATTTACATCAGTACAAATGATCAGCATGTAGACAGACTTTAATTTATTGCAGGGTACATGCCACAAAACATGCATTGAAGTTACACCCATATATTAACGATATTTAGCACAGATATATACAGCAACTTGCAACTTCGACTAGATAAAATTGAAACATTATAGCTATTCTTACCAACGAATATTCCTCATGATAATTGCCAGCAGTAAATGTGCTTTCATATTCAGTATTATAATAGTCTTCAACTAATTTCAATCAGTAGGTGTCTAGTACGAAGATGCCTTTGTCATGAAAAATAACAAACACTCCCTTAGTGGGAATCTGAAATCTTTAATAATTTAAGACGTATGTAAGACAGTTACCCTGTGAAACATATTTAAAGTACACAACGCGTCACTTGTATATACCACCAAAAAAGTAATAACTAAACACGAAGTAGCAAATACAAGTCACAGTATCTGAACGTGGAACATAAAAGATGGCTAATTGACCCCAGCAAATAGTTCACATGAGAAAAGGTAAACGGTGGAAAGAGCAGAAATGCATTGGGCAGACGCTCACGAAAACGTAAGATTTGAGGTAAGTTCCCGAATTCGATTCTCTCTGCTCATCTTTTTCAGCTTCATCCTGCGGTTCTGAAACCAAATCTTGACTTGTCTGTCGGTAAGGTTGACACTTTTACTGATCTCTAGACGGCGCTCTCGAGTCAGGTACATATTAAATAAAAATTCCTTTTCTAATTCCAGGGTCTGGTGCTTTGTGTAAGGACATCTCTTTTTTCTTCCACTTTTTGCAGTTAACCAGTTGCTTGTTGGGGGGTCGTTTTTGCATTCTGAAAAAGATGACAAAATAAACAAACTTAGTAAATGCTGGAGAACACAGTGTTGTTTCCGTGAGATAAGTACAATTACGTGAGCATTCCAGCAATTTCAGCAATCCATTTTAACCACCAAAATAGCGGATTGTGATAGAAATACATTTTAAAAGCAAACTTTTTTTTATTTATAATCAAACATGCCATATTTCTACATATACACAACTGAATACAACAGCCATTGCTTTGTATTATTAAATTGCATAGATATACATTAAGATTAAACCTGACAACGATTTTCATTCCCCCAGTTTACTTTACCTTTTCGGGAATGTTTGCAAAAAAATCATCCGTAATCATTGACAGCACTGCTTCCAATATTGTTCATTGTTACAAAAAAAGAGAAAACCGTCCCTAACGCACAGAGAATCCCAGTCATTTAACCAGAAAAGCAAAGTAAACAATATAAAATGTGTAAAAATATTTATTAAAATCATCCAGATAGAAAAAATCAGCCAGATAAAGCTAGATAATAAAATAACACCGAACAATAACAGGACAGCATGCACGTGAAGTAACTACAGTGACGCTGAAGAGCATTAAAAAGAACATATTAAACCTAACATAGCATTTTGACATAATAAAAAAACAAAATTACATCTTTAAACGAATAACATTAAAAAAAAAAAAAACACTCACATCTGCATCCCGTAGTCTAAAAAGACGACAACACTGTTTCCTGTGGAAGCATTTTACTGTAACTTGAGTAAGACTCTCATTAAACATTACGACTTTAGGGTTGTTTGTGTTTTATACTGGTTTTTATGGTGGTGGGGCGTTCGTATAACACCACGACAGGATTCATCCCTTTATTGTACCCACCTTTCGCTTCCGTCTGTGCCAATTCGGGGCTTGAGGCTGACGCTTCAGAGAAGGAATTTTTCTCCTCTTGCACACTCGCGTTTGGATCCGGGCTTCCCGCTGGTGTAGGTGTCTTGATCGCGTCTCGATTAGTCGGAATTTCTATTATTTTCTTCTCCGCCTCGGGAACCGTAGACAGCTGCGATTTTGGAATAACTCTGTTTAGTTGCAGGATGGTGTTCGGGCTCGTTTCGTGATTAAAGTCTTGGTTTTTCCCAGATGCATAGGTTTGACTCAGTCTGAAATAGCCCGGAACCGGGATTTCGGAACCATCGACAGAACAAGGTTCAGGAACAAGATTAGAATAAGTGGGGATTTCGGACGAGCTGACCTTTGCTCTTTTGTCGGAGTACATACAGCAATTACTTTCTTCTTTAATGCTTTGTGAAAAAGTACAAGAGGACATCTGGATGGAAGTGTGCTCTATTCTGCACGGTCTATCCGGATCTGCCCAATTGTCAATTTGAGGTATATACGAATGGGCATTCATGCCCATGTTTTGGTGGCTAAGTTCTCCCCTTTTACCGAGAGACGGCAGAAGTCCACAGGTCTGCATCCCATAAGTTCCCATTTCTGCACTGGATGGCATGTACATGTTGCTGCTGGAGTAAAGGCTATCGGTCCTGCAAGCATTGATCAAAGAGTCTACTAAAAAAGTATTGGCGGCGGGAGAGCTGTTGGGAAAGGACATTTTGGAAATGTGTTAAAGAAGAGAGAGATGTCCTCTATAGGCTGACATATCTAGCAAAACAATCCCGTGCAGCTCAGGATGCCGCTCAACCACCACATGACAACCACACCAATGAAATTTGAAAATGGCCTTGAGATGCAGCCTCTTTTCTTGTCACGTGGACGCTCGAGCACTTCGGAGGGTTTGTCAAATGTGGTCAACAGCGACATCTAGAACAAGGACTTGAAATTGATTCCAAGACAACAACTTAAAAGGCATTTAACACGTCTTCTCACTCTTCCGAAGAAGCACAAACCACAACCAATATAAAAATGTGCAAATGGTTTCTTGAACTATTTTGAAGACCGATTTACCTGGGGCATCGTTTTTTAATTTAAAAAATGTTTTTGTTTGTAAAGCTAATTCCAAGTTCAAGATGAAATATGTTTATTAGACTTCACTATTAAAATTACTTTTAACATAACATATTGCTTTTGTTGATGAAGCATTTGATGTATTTAAAGTGCTAAGGCATATAAATGCTCACGCAGTATTGTATATGAAAACAGGAAACTAATTGCTGAGGTGTTCAAGAATTTGAAATTGAACTCTTTTGCAATATAAGTCCATTTCACACTGTTCCTTGAACTTCGACATTTTGGGTATAATTCCTGGAATAATATACATTTTGTTTTATAGGCTAAGTAAAAGCATTTTTGCCTGCCACAGTCGGAGTATCAAAGGTTGTTTAATTTATGAATGTATATTAAGGAGAATCAGGGCGATCAATATATTTCTCATCTGCATTCGAGAGCTTTCTGGTAATTTTCCTGCTCCCGAGGCTTTTCTGAGAATTATACTCCTAGTTAAAGCAGGTGTTCAGCTATTTTATTAAGATATCGATTGTGGCTTTGTAAAAGATAGGATGCGCACATTTTAATTTGTAAGATATTGGCAGTATTATGAATTGTTAGAAAGCGGCGTTTGGTCAGGTTTTATTTTAAAAATTAAATTAATGAAATGGGTGCATTAACGTGCGCAAATACATAGCATTCACAACCTTATATCGCCATGAAACCTGAAAACAGATTGAAAGGCATGCAATACAATATTGGTTTACAATATGATACAATGCTATTTGAATAGCCCTCTTTGTGATCGATGGAAAGCACAAAAATAAACAAAACATCCATTCGGACACGAGCCTATAATTCTCAAACGCATTCTTTTGTTCTGAAAAACTGTACCGGTACACTTCTATTTTAGGCCGTTCACATTTTCCCATAGCAGTAATTCTTTTCCACAGTTTTATAATACAAGGGTTTAATATTTTTGCATTGTGCCATTTTTATATTTAATTGTAAATGAATGTCATTTCGAAACTGAATTTGAAGTGATACCAGCAAATAGTAGCATAGGTGGAATGACCTATGTTTTGACACGATCACCATGCCTGCAATACTGGAAAATCTTGTTCAACACAACAGACAGTGGGTTTAAGTCCCTCCGAACTGACTCCAAGATGGGAGTATTTTTATTGCTCGTTCTCACAGCATTTAACTTCCTATAGTAGCTTTTGAACTGAGAATTCGCAAACAAAGAAAATACCTTAATACGAGACTTCATAAGGAACAAAAATGTTAATCCGGGTAGCCCTGCCACGATAACTGTAACTAAGTCTAGGTAATAACTAATAGTGTTTTTGTGGCATATATCTGTTCGTCTAAAAAAAACCTGACATAAATACTCATATAATGGATATTTTCCGTGCGAGCATTCATGGTGCATCATATATTGTTCAAATTATTTAAATAATATCAAACGCAATGGAAGGTCGTGGCGGCACAATAATGATAAAATACACAAACAACACAAACCTATGAAAAACACAACACAAAATATATAATACATCCTTGTCATCATTTTATCAATGGTATTAACAGCAACAGTTGTAGAGTAACATGATAAAATGAAGATCTTGAGTATAGAAATGTTTTATGCTATTTTTGTACCTTCAACTTCTCATTGTTATTTATGTAAACTCTGCTCATTGTTATTTTTGGCGTTGCAATAGGCTAGTGCATTAAAAGTAACATTTCTTTCCTGTATTTTGTGTAGGCACACCAGGACAATTTCAAAAAGCAGGAATCCTGTGTTATTAAAACAAGCATCTTTATCGCTGAAGGAATATTGGATTTACAATTTGCATTTTAATTTTTAGCAATTTGATATATTTAATTCCAGCGGATTAGCAAGTAAGTCTTAAAAAGAAAACTGCACTTATATTATGATTTGATGCTAAAGTACACATACAAACGCTATCTCATTTTCATTTGTTTTCAACTAACATATTACATAAATAGATTTGTTTTTAAAAAATCTTTTATTCTTTATATTTGAAATATTGCCCAGTTGCTTCATGGTTTTCGTTTGTAAATCAGATTCTTGGGATAATATTTCTTTGTACCAAACAACGACTTTGCTGTCTTGAGTACCTTCAGTTTTGCAAAGCAGACGCGCGTATGTTGTAGCTCACAACAAACATATCTCACGTATAAACCTGTTTACTTCTTATTCAGCTGGATAACATTATTAAAACAGCAAAAGACGTTATACGTTTTCCCTCCAAGCTAAAAACATTTCAGCTTGACGTAGTTGTACATCATTTTGCCTAACTCGTGTATAAGAAAACATTTTCCTGCTATTTACCAAACTAAGAAATGTGTATTCACCTATTTTAACACGCACGTATATACACAATTCAAGTAATTCAATAAATTCTTTCTGTTTAATGATTTAAATAAGATTCCGGATAATAAAATTAAATGACGAAATAACTGGAAATATTGAAATGCCAATTACTGCCGGTCTCCTTACTCAAATCATTCATAATTTTCAACCGCCTATTATCCAACCTTAACTGGTTCCAAAGAACGCACATGCATGTAACAACAACAATAATAACGACGGCAATAATAATAATGGAGTGGTCATAGTTAGAATTCATAAAACTGAGCGATTACATATGTTGCAATAACGCCATCCTGTGGTTATTATCAGAAATTACAAAAATAACGGAATTTCTGTGTATATCCAAATGTTATGTATCCACGTTTAAGTCTACAAATTCAAATGGCATCCAGTAGTCAATCAGTTCAACAGACTAATATAGACTGTTATGAAAAACAGCCCAGCATAACTTATTTTTAACTGAATATATGTTTAAAAGCGAATATTGGGTTTTAAATGGCGATTTCAATTCGTCAGTAGTAAAACGTAGGCCTACATAAGAAATTACACATACAGTAATATATAGATTATATATTGCATATATTGCACTTTGAAATATGTGATATATTTTACTTGGCGTGTACTTAAAGCCGAAATCATACGTTATTACTTTGATATTTGAATGTCACTAAAGAAAGACTTGGACGTGTCGGAAATAAAATACACACAAAAAAAAACAATTGAAGTATACTTGAAAATATTAAGAAATGTAACATTTTCTTTATTTTTATGCTGATTTCAAGCATCAGGCTACACATGCGACCAACGACAAGGGTCATTACAAATGGTTGTAACATAGCGGTAAGCACGGCCCCATTCTTGGAGAGAAAACAATTGATTACTCCTATTTAATTATTTTGATATAACAAACTAAAAACCATAAGGTTTTAAAATGGTGTTTATCACTGCGGAGTAATCAACAAATCCCATCAGCGGATCAGGAGGTGTAAAAAAAATTGCGATTATGTAAATTACATGCTAACATAGACTCGCGTAAGAGCAAAGTAAAAATAATTCATTTAAATTCTTCCTTGTTAAACTGGGGTTTGTTTAACAAAAGAAATTTATCATAATGGTAAACTATGCGCTTTTTGAATTCTAGGAAACCGACTGCCTTGCAGCCATGTTGCAGCGCCAGTGCTGCAGTGCAGATATTTTTCAGAAGGCGCCCTTTTGTTAAGAGAACAGCCAAAAGGCGCCTAAACGAATCTAAAAGGGTTAAAGGGGACGACCTTGACGTTATGGAAGTTCAAAGGCAAAATGGAATATATTTTTAAATATATGAAATTTTGAACAATCATTTGGTTAGGCGTCTGTTCTGGCTAATATCAGGATTAGCATTATACGTATTTGCATATAATACTCGTGCAGACAGTGTTTTTTGTTTGGACGCCTTCTTTTTTCTGTATGAAATACAGTATGAGTATGTTCTTATTTTATCTTATTTTAGCGCAAATCTGGAGAGACTAAAAGCCGAAATAGCCCCCAATTTAGACTATGCCAATGTTTATTGTTTTGTCTGGATCGTTAAAGCTAGTGTAAACTATATCAAATTGCGCAACATAAAGAAAACAAAGTACTAAGTAGCTGTGCTTTTAAGGTAAATGTGTCCAGCTTAACAACCAAACGCAATTGTTTTGCACTTTGAAAAATTTAGCAATTTAGTAGACTGCGCTGTTATCGTTTTAATCTAAGTCGTTTTCACACAACTATTGTCTCAAACAAAAATAATTTATTTTTGTCAAGCCCCAAACTATTAACCTTCAATTAAGCTCCACCAAATACTACAAAATGTTATCAAATTCTTTCTTTTGCTGGGAAAAGCACATACATGAGTATAATGTTGTACATTAACTATTGAGTTGTGTCACATTTGAAATAATTAAAAAAAAACTACTTATGGGGAAAGGATTTGCAATATTCTGGTTTTATTTAATAGTTTCGTACATCACATGCGTCTAAGAAATAAATGCATACATTAGACTGTTATAAAATTACATATTGATTACTGTAATCAAATTTTTGTTGCTTACTGCAATGTTGTTTATGAACCATTATAATGAACGCAATAAAACATAAATAGAACATAATAAGTATACATCAATTACATTTAAGTAGCATTCACAATCTAAATAACATAAGAGCGAACACGAAGATTGTCAAAATTTCCTTGTCGTTCTTGTTTTATCGAACGATTCACGTTAATTAGGAAACACACAACATTAAATAGCCTAATGTGAATAAGAATCCATAGATTTTCGAGGTAAACGTTACTTTTGATAATAATACAAGAATTGCATAGTTTAAAAAATTCAATTTATCCTTATTTCTTCTGGTGCCCCGTGTAGCTGCGTGATGGAGAAAAGATTCTGTGCCCGAAAAGTCCGGAAACCTTAAGCCATTCCATCATGGAGGCCACGGAATGTTCTACACGATCTAAAATCAAAATGTCAGAATAATGGATTCCCAGTGAAATATTGAAGCCGATCCCTGTTTAGCTTTTTCTCTTTCATTCTTCGGTTTTGAAACCAAATTTTCACTTGCCGATCTGTTAGGTTTAACATCCTTGACAACTGCAAACGCTTCTCTTTGTTTATATACACGTTGAAAAAGAATTCTCGTTCAAGTTCTCGTATCTGGTATTTAGTGTAGGGACACCTCTTTTTTCTTGACTTTGAAGAACCTAAAAAACATAATAACAAGTTATCCCTCATAAACATATCTATATTGAGCACATTATGTTACCTGAATTATTTAATATTTAGATTTTTCTACGAACGTACACTTGAATTTACAGTTAATTCCATTCTTATATAAGCAGCCGAGTACAAGTTATACAGCAGGACTGGTTACACATTAACGGGTTATTGCAGGATTTTTTTGTTCTTTTCAAGAACACATTTCTGTTACAATTGTTCCGCAAAGTAACAATTGCGGATAGAGTTGCTTTATACATTACGTGGCACGATTTCCCCGTAAAATAATCTATAAATTCCATACAAATTCTTAAAAGCGAATTTGACTCTTATAACCAATCAGTAGTAATCCTAAAACCCACCTAAACTGTCCTGCCGTCGTAAACAGTTTTACAGCAGCAAAGCAAGTCTTATAGGGTATATAAAATCCTTTGCATGCTTATAAAGCCGCACATAAAATCAAACCGACAAAGTAGTGGACTTGTACTCTAACCCCCATTTAATGTTTGGTCTTACTCGCACCGTTGCTCTTCTCTTCTGTGCAGTTGGAGGAAGAAGATTCTTCATCTATGTTTTCGTTTGGTTGTTGTTTCTCCTGCGACGACGTCTCTGAGGACAACTGACTGGGCGCAGCATCTCCGGGGAGACTTGATTCTGTCTTTTCCTTTGAGGGTTCGGAGTTGGCTCTCTCGGCATTATTGTTAGTGTCAAAAAACTGGTCAAATCCTTGAGGAAGAACTCCATTTCTGCCAACGCTGGTGTAAAAACTGCACGGCGCGTTCGAGCCATTATGATGGCCATACATGGAATCGTTTTTAAATATCATGTCCGTCCTGCTAGATGACTGAATTAGATCTCGGTGCATTATGTCGTCGGTCGAATAGTACGATGCATAACTGCTCCGATAATGCCATTTGTGATCCATGCCATAATCTCTGAAAGCAACTTCTCCGACAGGCTGGACCTGAGCAATGTTTGAAGTATACGGAAAATTTACTTGACACGAAGTCGTCTGAGGTAAAAATGATGTGACAGATGAAAAATCAGGTGCTGATACATAATACGTACAATTCGGCAAATACATATTCGACGCGCAGTTGCTGCGATCGTCATACTCCGTCATGACTTCTTTTGCGTTTGAAAGCAGCTATATGCAGCGTCGGTGTGTTAAACTTCGTCCATCTACTGCACTACAGGCATGTGGACAGGATCCGCGTGGGGGAAAAATCGGAAACGTAGGCTGACGTGCAATTCATCTTGATCGATTCTTGAGGCAATTGTGTCATGTGATCCGGTAACGAAATTACCATATATCAATATCAGTCATTAAGACCGATATAGAGAAATTCATAGGTGAGAGCAGAAGTCAGTTCATTGGTTGCTTGCGTCATGCGGATATCCAAATGTAAATCTTACATTTACACCAACGAATTAGTAGACAGTAAACAGTCCTTGAAATATTAAATCATGCTGCTTCAAAAACGAATAAGAGTGACAATGCCACACATGAAAATTAAACGTATTATAGTTTTTTATAAGACGTTAATTTTAACAATAACACGGTGTGTATGTAGTTTAATTGGGATTTATACGTTTAAAAGTACTATATCTTCGACAGCCTACATATATGCTTATTTGGTGTTTGCATTTTTTACAGCATTAAATTGTAGCGCGCAAGCATCTAAAACAACAGAAGAATAAATTTCGTAATATGCCATTTACAGAAAACGTAAACTTTTAATTTAAAAAATAACCAAAACCACTTCAGGCTGAATTGAACTAAACAAAACATTTCAATAAAGATATACTCGATTAAAACGATATGGTAAATCTTTGCATTACACAAACTTCATAAAAAAAGCATTCATAAACGCCAATCAGGGCCTCGGACACACGGCCAAATATAGCAATTTTTCAAACCAGATTTACTTTATTTGATTGTTAATCTGTGCATAGAATTGTGGTAAATGTATAATTTTACGGAATAAGGAAAGTAAACAGAAATCGTCATTTTAATGCCGAAAGAAAAGGAAGGAATCACTGTAATTGACGGATGTTTTGTAATGTTATTTCCGCTTCTCGATTTAGATTTCAGACGAATGTTTTCAGTCATTTTTGGGTCTTTCTTCATAGTAATTACACTGATCTATATAAACTAAAGCTTAATGATAAAATGGGGAAGTTAGCAAGGTTATTGAAGCAATTCAATGAAAATAACATACGTACATTAAAATAACACATGAAGAAGAAGCAAAATCAGGAAAAAAAAGAAATCACAGCACACTGTTACGGAATACAATATAGACTCGAATGTTTTTTAAGTTAGCGAATGCTTTTGAGTATACCAAATTTCTCCGCTGCGTAACTATTTTATAATGCTTACTGAAATCCTGCAATCCCCCGTCATAAATAGCTTATATTGTAATTTGTAAATTCATTACAAAATGGAGAGCAACACTAATGAAGAAAAGAATGCTACATTACCCTGGAAAGATATATGTAAAAACTCCAAATCGGATTGGTTTGGTCAAGTTTTTCTGACTTCTTCTTAGGTCCATAGGTAGTAATTAGAAGTCAGATAACAAGAAGAATCAATGGATCACGGAAAGATTCACACTGCCAAGTACAAAACAGATCTTCTGGCTTTGAACGTTGTCTAACAACGCTCACCCAGCCGTCCCCAATAAGCGCCAGCAGTCGGATCATTTTATTGCACAGACAAAAGGAAGCGTTCTAGTTTAAGTGTAGGCTATAGTGAGTAATTTGGGTGGTGGTGGGGTGTGTGTATGCGTGTCTGTGTGTGTCTTTCGGGGGGTTATTGTCTTTAAACAACTAAACAGCGTTTGAAATCTTATTGCAAGACCCAATGGTTCAAATTTCAGATATTATCATTGCGGTATTTCAAATAGATCACCTTTAATCTCGTAATTGTACATAAGCTTAAAATGTATAACTTAACATGGGATTTTTAAAAGAAATTAATCTTTTACTAAAGGATGAAAACGTTTGGGCATTTTTGTGCAACACTTGGCTAGACTCGATGAAGGTCTGGTAACACATTACGTCTTATTAGCCTGTAAGTTAATATTAACCTCGTCCTAGTCTATTCAGTCTACTCAGAAACATAATCCTCACAACATAGAAATTAACTTTTAAAAATATTACCAATGGGTGCATTTTTAGCACGGATGGATAATTAATGATGAATTTCAAATAACCGAATTATCTTTGTTTTATTTGTCAGTGAATATTATGAATTTGTCCTTCTTCAGCTTTCGTGTTTTGCTTATATTTAGGAAAAGCCTACACAACAATTAACTAAAGGACACTTTCACGTGTTTTTCAGTCGATAATACAATTTCAAAATTCACGATAAAATTTACTGGACATCAGGGCATTTCGTTAAGTAAATTGTGGAACTAAAGAATATTTATAAGCACACACGCTGGGTCCTGTTTTTTGTGTTTAAAATTATTTTTAAAATATGAGTGCATGTTCTTCAAAACAGTATGTTACGCTCATTTAAAGTGTTTTACATTTGGCTTGAATAAAAGAAAAATCTGGGAAATGTGTATATTTTAAAATTGTCATGGTAGGAAAGGTATACTAACTTGACCTTAACTTTGCAATTGCGCCCCCAGTATCTAGAGAGTATAAAAAGACGCCGTCAGGGACTCACCGTTGGACGGGGCGGCTGATGAAGCGGCGCCGTATTCTTCGTTTGTGTGTTTAAACACCACGACCAAATCAAAATGAATTTGTTGTTAAAATAATATCTCGTTCTGCACTTTTTAACTAATGCATTTATTTCTTAGATAATTTAATTGTGTATATACTATTTTCAAACAACCCCACGCATATGGGTATTATTTGTTAAACTAACCTAGATTTACAGATATTGTATGTTACATTATCAACTCAAAAGAATATTTGTAAATATCCTGTTGAGTGTTGTAATATCAGAAATGTGGCGTCAGGAGGAAATATTTGTTTTGAACTATGGCTCGTACGGAAAATACATTTTATGAAATGCCTAAGAGTTGTGTACGTTTTCCGCTTTTCAATGGGCTACTTCATTTTTGTTATAAATTGCTTTAAAGAACATGACTTTAAATAAGAGAGAAGGTTTTTAAAAAAAAAAAAATAATAATAATAATAATCATAATATATAAAAATAAATACATGAATCTATAATAATCATTGTCTGTACGCCTAGGCACCAGGTTAATTGAAATACAGCTCCTGCTTATGATCATGTAAAAAATGCTGCATTTTCAAAAAAATATTGTATTTCCCTTTCAAATGTAGAATTCTCTTTACGCATAAGAACGCAACGATACTAAGAACCATAGAATAAACACAACGATAATGTAAAATCAAGACTTCCAGCAGTATTCGTGAGAAAAAGAACCACATTTACACACATTAAAACAGAAGTTCTTTCAATTTTAGTTTTATTTTACAACTAAATAAATATAGAGATATAACCGAAAAACAAAACATACTGTACACAAACACAATGGATTAAAATCAATCCTCCATAGTTAATGCATTAATAATTAATTTATATTAATACTATCATATTTATTCCTCAAATGATACTTAATAAGTCTATCTTAATTTTGATCTTAAATGAGTTGACCTCAAATATCCTTGGTTGCTAGATTAGCCAACACATTTTGGAGCATGTTAATATCGATCTATCGGTAAAATGTTAATGGTTAAATGGTAATAGCGTGTAAATATTTCCATTATGCGTTTTATGCATAAATTTAGTCTAAATTACACCAGCTTATTCACAATAAAATACATTATATTTATATATGTATATGTGAATTGTATCTTATGTACTTACATTAGACATGCAATTACAGTTCTGAAATAGTTTTTAAACCCCTGTATTTCACCTGCCATCCGTCGTTTCAATTCACATGGTGTATTAATATACTTTCTTACTGATATCTCTTACGAAAAATCGCATACATCAGCAAATGTAATGCTGGTGCGTGTGCGCGTGTGTATACACGTGTGTGCGCGCGCGTGTGAGCTGGTGTGTATTAATTATCATAATAATCATGTGCGATAAGGGCTACAAATGGGAATCTTATCTATAAGACCCCCGTTTTAGTCTTGATCCTACCTAATTATTAATCGTTTATACGTTTATATCCTTAGTGTTGTGGGTGCAAATCTGAAATATCGATGCAAAGAAAGATACTGGAGATTTTCCAATAAACCTCCAAGATCCCTAATACAATCCCCTGAGAGAACAATGCGGCCATAATTAAAGAGAACTGAATAGATAGGTACTCCATGACAGCCCTTTATTAATGCACGAATACACAAATCGGCATTTGATATCGAAAGGTGATTTGCTGGGTGAAACAGTTGATGTGAAACGTTCTTTCCATTTCTTGGCCTGCTTCTACTAAACAATGGTGCATAGTCTATACTTTGTAATATATTTCGGTGATATCAATAGCACACTCGCAGATGTCCAGGAAATACTTAGAAGTACATCTTAGGTGTCTTCTTTATTCATTATTAATGTAAACATTGCAATGTCAAATTGAAGAACATGAGGCTTTGAGAACAGCAATTAGCAAGGAGAGACACGATGATGAGATGTAATGCAGCCTTGTAAAGTTATGACCGTCTACATAAAAACCTTGGTCTCTGCGCCAAGATAACCGCTCAGTAAATGGGAAATGCATGTTCGCGCATCAACAGTCTTTTCTTTTTCATCCTTCGGTTTTGAAACCAAATTTTAACTTGTTGGTCGCTCAAGTCCAGCCTGTCGGAAAGTTCTTTTCTTTTCTGTCTGTTTATGAATTCGTTCATTAGAAACTCGTTCTCAAGTTCTGCAATCTGTTGCTTGGCGTACGGCTTCCGTTTCTTTTTGGTCCTCACTTGTGAAGAACACCAAACAGCACCTGAAAAAAAGAAAACAAAATAATAAAATAACCCTGTCCTTCCACGCAAGCAATATATCATGTTCTCTCTATTTTATACCTCTTCCCGTTCCTGAAAACCACAGTAGAGAGAATTCCAATGTGTTCAGACATAAATATGTGCATAAGTCACATTTTACGATTATGAATATAACATATAACGTGGAAGATGTAGAAGACTGACGTCGCATACCATCAGTGAGGGATGCCCTAACACAGGGGCCACTTAAGTTTTGCTGCACTGTGACATTTGAGTTGACCGGTTCCTTGAAGCCCGCGATATTTGCTTGATTGCTGGAATTCTGTTCCAGTTGTGCAGTGGAGGATTGTGACTGTCCTTCCATATTACAAAAGTTATATTTGGCAGCACAAGCAGGGTGAATAATTCCGTGTTCACTGCCTGAAGACGGTCCATGTCTGACTGATTCCTCTGGTTTATGATTGGCATCTTGAAGACTGAAGTACTTAATAGCTTCTTCCAGTGGACCCTTATTATGAGTGTTGGGATTGGTACTTAGAGACACTGAAGTTGCCAGAAAGGGTTGACTGAAGCTACTGAACGTGCGGCTTTGTGGTGGAGATGAGCACGGATTTGGGGAAGTCCACGGGGTTGAGCACACCTCTCTTCTGCCGTACGAAATGTGATTTAGTTCGGAGGACTGAACCCCGTTACTCCGTAAATTGGGAAAATAAAAATCCTGTGTGGAAAAATTCAAGAGGGATCCAACAAAGCCAGAACTTAGAAAATTTCTGTCACACATTTCCAAGCAGATAAGAGATACAATTCTTACAACCCTTTTAGCTTCCTTCAAGAATAAGAAGGAGGCGATTTCTGATTTGTTAACGTTCGTCACGTGACATACAAAATACGTTATCGAGCCCCCCCTCTCACACCATAGGGTGGTGTCCTGAAGAACATCCTCTAGAGAAACCTCAACGTAAGCATATTCCAGAAAATCGCGTTATCGTCGTTGCTGGTGCCTCGGCGGAAATTGTCGTGTAAGCAAAATGATATGGTAACGTAAATAGCAATTCTATAGTGCTTAGTCTATTCATAGGCCTAGTAAAACTGAAATAAAACCCAAACCAGTCCACGATTATGTCTTCTCATGTACTGACTTAATTATATATTGAATAAAAACAGCAGCAAAACAATAGCTCTTGTTTTTATTGATTGACACTAAGATTATTATTATTGTTTTAATATTAATAATAAGAATCGACAACTTTTGCAACGTGCTCATAGGGGCCTAATTCTGCTCGTGTTTGCATACTAGCACAATACACTTTGCCAGTTTTTGGGAATACTACAATAAATAACTGACTCAGTTTAATTTTACAATTTATTACGTCATTAATTACTAAAATATGAATAGATTATTATTCAAATACAAGATTCAAGCTGATGTTTGGAAAACATTTCGCTGAAATCGAATTTAAAGTATGTAGGTTTGTAATACAAAAATAGTTTTGTAATATGGAAGGACAGTCACAATCCTCCATTGCATATCTGTAGCACAATTCCCGGAATCAAGCAAAAATCTTTCAAAGACACAATTACCAATAATGATTATGCATGTGTGTTTGGGAAAAGACACAGCAATGTAAATATTGCGGGCACTTGTTTCCACCGTGTGTACGCTTATAACATAACCCCTTTTTAATTTAAGACTACAAAACCGCTGAAATAATTTGTCATAAAGTTCGCTGTAAAATTCCGCTAGAAAGTTGAAATATACCTAGATCACGTAATTTCACAAACTACTAATTTGTTTCTGACCAAATACAGAAAATGATAAGATAGACTGATAGAACATGAAAACAAGAGGTGTTCATTTTTATTCAGAGAAATGGAATGTAGTCCAGGGAATCATTCATAAAATTATACAAATTTAATTTCATATGTGTCGTTGACTTGTGTAAAACAATATAATATTGACACATTCCATTAAACTTCCGAAAATTAGAAAATTTAAAACAAACTATACGTCTACGTACATATTGTGCTATTTTATAATAATAAACAACAGCGTGATCAGTATCATCGTCTTTATAATCAATAACAACAACAATAATAATTAATAGCTTTTTCATTGTGCTCATAATTATGCTCATATTTGCAAATACTAATACACTACACTTCGTATCCACTTTGTTAAACGGACCAACATCAATAATTATACGCAGTGACTTTTTAAATTATTAAATCATACATTGTTACATTACTAATTGTTAAAATACAGATTGGTCATTATTGATTAAATAAAACATTATGACTCGTGTTTGGAAAATATTTCGTTGAAACTGTAAAGTAAAAACTTTACAAGAAGTATGCTTTTTCGATTTGTACAAACTTTATGTGTGTGTTTGTGTGTGTGTGTGTGTGTGTGTGTGTATTTCAGCTATAATAATCTATGTCTGTGCTTAGGTATATCGGCATAGGTTCAGTAATTTAAATATTATGGGTTTACTACAACCTAACACAATGACATGAATGAATTGTCAAAAAATGTTTTGTAAAAATATTGCATCCAATCCTTATGCACTTTTGAAATATATACAGATCGCAACATTTCACAAAACTGTTTATGACACAATTAGTAGGCCTAAATAATAGCATACAACAAAATAAGGGGTTGCTTTTTTAATTTTCATTCAGACCAGAGAAATGTGTATCCTTCAAAAAGTCCTGGACAAATTATACAAGTTGATATTATTCATTTATACATGCACAACATAAAATAGGCCTTTAAAACACACACTTGACATTAAATTCAATTCCGTGCTTTCTAAAACCGACTTTAAACACACTTTAGATCGAATCGCATATTAGGCCGATGCAATGTAATATATAACAACAATAAGAACAATTAGAACAACAACAGCAACGACAATCATGATAATATAGGCAGGCAAATGCCATCATACTCCCAAATACTTTGTACTTGTAAATGTAACTCAATGTCGGCTTTTCATGCAGTGAAATATATCATTTGTTAAAACTGGTGTAACGCCCCCATATTCTTTAAAAGGACGGTTAAATAACATATGGAAGATTCCACACCATTCATCCCTATTCCATAAAAATATATACTTTATCTGAAATGTTTATATTAAAAAAAGTTCCGTCTGTTCACTCTTACTGTATATGAATAATCCACACTCTTCGACTTCATTTACAAAAATAATAAATAGTTACGAATCGGTTAAGTGGTAACAGAATTGAATTGCTGCCAGTTTAGAGATCTAAGTGTATATACCTACGACAGCTGAGGCAAAACAGAGGAAACAGCATATCCAGGGGCTGCTGAACGGAGAAGAAACGCAAGCGCGGTCATAGATATACAATGGGCCATATTGGCCGGCAGCCTTTGAGGCGATGCGCTAGGGCCTCACTGCGCATGGACGGATTCCCTGTGGCCATCTCGTTGCCGAAATACAGAGAGAATGTAATCATTAAAAATGCAATTTCATTTGGCCACATTAAATCCTCCTCACAAAACATAGTGATATGTAGCCTTTTCAATGAACCACGTGTGAAAAACACTGCTTCCGAATCATGCCGTTTTATATCTCATCCAGCAGATGGCGAAGCAGTCCCATGGATCGCAGACTCTTCGTTATGCACGAGCTTCACTGCCGTCAAGGTCAAAGACTCTAATTTCATGTCAAGGTCAACGGTAAAAATCAAATTCAGAAAACGTCCATCCACCATCCATCTTCGAACCAAAGCAAGCTTTGAGAATAATAATAATAATAATAATAATAATAATAATAATCATCATCATCGTAAAATATTAAGTAGTAAGTAAATTTCAATTACAATAATTGAATGTACTATTGCGTATAAGAATTTTTAATAGGTCTGTACATAAACTAAAATGTTGCATGACTTAAATATTTTCTAAATGTTTTATAACCTAGTAATTTTATACATATAAAGAAAAACTTGTTGGGAAAGCAAACAAAAATCAAATTAGCGCGATATTCATGTTTTTTGTCTTTTAAGTAATTCACAGTGAAAGCTGTGTCGGAGAATGTCACAGACCATTTTCTTGTTTCCATAATCATTTAGTAAATTATTTACATGACAACGAAAACACAATACACAATAAGGCATAAATGCACGTGAATTCGATTCCTTTTGGATAAAGGAACCATTCGTTTTCGATGAGAGGATATATAAAATATGTTTAGGCTTCCTTCTAAAATGTATATCTGGGTGACCGAATTCTGTAAACTATACACCGCCATCAGTCACATATAGGCCTATTCCATCTGTAATATTTATTTTCAAATAACTATTAATAACAAGTTAATTTTAAAAATAAACTGGTTAAACGTTTTGCTTTCTTAGCTAAATAAGCCAAATATAATTTTATTGCTTTATTTGTAGCTCTATGTAAATGTTCCCGCGACATTTGTCTAGAAAATCTTCTGAAAGATAGACTAATCTATAAATGCTGCCAACAAAACAAGAAAATATAATTTAATTTCATTTAAAAAATAGACAAATAAAGGTAATTATGACGTACTTTATTAAAAACCTGAACTGAAAAGAAAATCAAATACGCGATACATCTCACATCAGCGTAAGATATCCAAAGTGTCATCTTAGTGGCAAGCATTCAATGTCTAAAGCCATTTTATTTAAAAAAATTTTCAGCGTATTAACCACGAGCACAAAAGTCAGGAAAAAAAGAAAAAACAGAAATACGCATGAAATTAAAGTTTTCAATGGAAGAATTGCACATATTCACTCGATTATTTGCCGTTCACACAACGTCGTCCCAAACATTCATTGAAATTCAGCAGTAGAATTCACGTTGATTTCCTAAGCAACCTTTTCTCTTTGACTCTACGATTCTGAAACCAAATGACGACTTGCCTCTCCGATAGATTGGTTGAAAATGCAATCCGTTGCCTTTTATCTTTGGTAATAAACTTGCTAGTTGTATACTCTTTTTCAAGTTCCCTGAGCTGCAGCTTTGTATAAGGCACCCGTTTCTTCTTCCCACGCCGTAATACACTGTTGACATCTGGCTGGCTTAGAGCTGTTCCCCCTTGAAACAAATAGAGAAAAATACGTCTAAAATGAATGGCAAGGCCCGGAAGGAAAACACGTTAAATGGATACATTTAGAACCCATCTATGTATTACTTTACATTTCGCCAGTATTAATGTAGGCCTATTGTCATGTGTTAGTTATTTAGTACTTACGCATCTGAGTAAATTTCCTACCGGTGTCAATGTGGACACTTAAGTTAATTCTATAATAGCGATAATGCGTTAATACTATTTCACGAAAATTTGATATTTTGTCCATAATCACTGACGATAACAGAATCATACATGCACGCGCGACAGCTTTCACCAGTAAATTATAATTATGGTTTTATTTGGACTTATGCTGTGGTACAACATCAACACTTTCCTTTAGATACATGCACTGGGGTTTAGCAATACAGACCTAAAATCAAACCTTCGTGGAACTTCCCTGCCCAAATGCCATAAATAACTGAATTATACATACTGCTAGAATTTGGCAACTTGGCCAGAATTGGGCAATGCTTCACGCTTTTCTAACCCACACTGTCATGTTTCCCATCCGAAAATATACTGTTTGAAGAGTGTAAGCGGAAACGAATACCTTTTTGGCCAAGTTTAATGTTTTTTTTCTCCAGATATACGGCAAAAAATGTATGTGTATATTATCGGAAAGAATGTTTAAAATGTATATGTAGTTGAGGAGATAGTTCCCCCCTGATAATAATAATAATAAGTATTATACCTGCAACGTAAGATTTCCACACATGCGGGTTCTCGGTCTGATTTTTTATGAAAGACACCGGTCTGCTCCAGTTACTTGACCAATTCCACTGACAGCCAATGTTAATATCGCGCCCAGATGATCCAGAAGCAGGTACATCGACATATCCTGGAATCCGTGGGGAAGAACCTGTGAAGTCTTGGAAAATACCGTACTCTTTGGTCCTTAATGGTAGTTCGTTGCAGTGCATCTGTCTTGCGACACGTGAAGTATCCGTAAGCGTTTCCTTTAAATGTTCATTTAAAGGTTGCTTAATTATGTCCTGCTGGAATCCAGTACTATATTGTATTTTGAAACTGTAATGACTGTTTCCAAAACAACAACCGAAACTAGCTGGTGAAGTGGTGGAGGCTGAAGAGCACGGACCCTGACCATATAGGTTAGTAGATTCTGGGTTGATAGACGTAGATCTCTCCGCTGTTGAGTATGACCCTAACCCAAAAAAAGAACGGCCTGAACATGTCGGAAAGGACGGACAGTAGCCTCTTCCCTGGACCGAAGGGATATCCAGCCCCAACCCCGCCATTTCCACCTTATGATTTTTTCCAAAGCATTATAATAGGCCAAACTGATTAGAAATGAATATGATCATGACTATTCTGTAAATTTATTAAAGCGAACGACGGCTGAAGACATAACCTTCTGCTGTTTTTGTTCCATGTTTACTTTACAGATTACTCGTTTACCGGTTGGTTAGTTGTGATCACGTGATATGCAAATATGTTGAAATTTAGTAACACATTCCAATTTATCTTTTCGCCATAGAAATTCATCGTTTGGACTTATGTATAAAGCAGTTGGTAGTAAATATCGAACAAATAAAATGTGAATAATGAATATATCTGAGATAGTAAATTAAATTTAAATACATCATTTTAAACCATAATCGTTAGGACATGACAGTGAACTTGAAAAAAATACCCTTTAATCCTTTTTAGGCAGAATGGTGCCATTTAATTTTTAAGTTAACCGGTATTGTATGCCAAGTGTTCCTATTTCTGAACTGCCAATGAAATTTTGAAAGGAGAACTATATCGCCTTCACGAAAAATAAGGCTAATGTGCAATAGCCTGTTCACTCCGATGAAATTAGTCAGGTCTGCCGCGTTAGGTTTAGAACAGCAAACTTGGCATTCTGGTTGGCTAACACATATGGAATCGTCATTTATTTATAACCTGTTGAATCGCTTTAGAAAACAGAAACGGAAACGTAAACTGAGATTATTATTAGACCCTGCACAATAAAAATACAACCGAAATAGTAAGCTAAGGATTCAATAATAACTGGAGAACAACTGAACACTAATATGAATCGCAGTATAAATTATCGTTAGAATAACAATTAGTTAAATGACACGATCAAAAACTACTTTTGTTTTTAAATCGGGTCTAGTTGTTCTGAAACATTATAGCTGAATGACAGATTAATGTGATACTATATTAAAGCTGAATCATCATGATATTTTCTCCTTGTATCACCTTGCTGTGCAGAGTGAAGTGAAAATATTTGGGGCATACATTCATTCATTTGGCCGGCACCTCACAAAAATACATTAACAATGATTATATGTGTGGAATTGACGGTAATAACAGAAAATTCTTCACATATTTTATTGTACAGTTTATAAAACGCATTTGTTAAAAAAATATTAGTCCCTTTAACTGAAACCACATTTAGACCCACATATATAGCAAGCCTGAGACTAAACAGAGAGACTAATGTATTCAGTTTATTTAAGAGAAAACGTACATGATCCTCCTCAGTCCGTAATTATTAAGCCTGGCATTTGCATAGTCTTCAAAATGGTAAAAACTTCATGTAAATTCGGGGTGTAATTACTGTCAAGAAATATAACTCTAAAAATGTACTTCCTTTATTTAAACCTTATTAAAGTGATACATACAGTGGGGTCTTCCATAGTGTTGTCAACTAGTTTTCAGGCGAAGTTGCTACTGGCAGGTCGATTTGTTGCCAAAAGTTGCTAAATGGCATTGTGACGTCATTGTGCTACGTGGACAACAGCACATTATTGAACAATTAGCTTACATTTTATTTCTTATTAACTAATAAAAGTTAGTTAATATGCTACCTAACTGGGGTGGCTTTCCTGACAGATTTGTAACAATAAGTGGTTCGTTATATCTAGCCCTTAATATCAATCGTTAATTAGCGAGTGTTTTTCGAATCCATTCATAATTAAAATACTTCGTTATCTCGTTCGTAGATTTATGAGTGCGCCGACCCACTCGCTATTTTGCTATTTGTACGTGGTTCTTTATTAGAACTTTCGCTTGTGTCCTGCCACAGAGACACAGAAATCACAAAACACACTTACTCTTGAATTATGTTGGTGATGATGTATTAATTATAAGAAGTCAATGCTGCAATATAAAACTATAATGTAAGCTATAAAAGCGCAAAAGGAATTCGCCGTTTTAACACTTGTATACTATTTCAGTACATTACAGGGTCGTGCACCATTCAAAATTGAACTGAAAATTACCTTGAATTCAAATTCAGTTAAAAACATTAGTTAAAACCTGGTTGCAAAATTGCAATTTGAACTTGAATATAAGGAAGTTGAATTAAAACGGAGTTGAATTCTCATAAATTTACATCGTGTAGGTGCAGTTGTAACAATACAGCTTAATATTTGAATACGAATTACACAGCATTTTAACATAAGCAGCATATATTAATATCCCCCCACTATCACGAAAATGTATGTTATTTCGAGTACCTGGCTGAAAAGTCTGGGAATCATTTTTATCTTATAATTATGCAAATATGAAGTACACTTTAGTTACTTGCACATATAAAAGATCAATTTCAACATCTACCATCTAGAAAGTAAATCTATTATATATATATTTATATTTTGCTATATTATATTCTTGTGTTACGTTATTAGATTGAATTTCTTTTAAATAAAATTAATTAAATTCTTCTTCCTGACATTCAAATTCAAATTCCAATTCAACATCCTACAAGGTGAGGCAATTGATGAATGGAATGGGGCACAACCTTGATACAGAATGAGCTAACAAATCGAACTTGCTATGTGTTCTGTCACATCCTATGAAGTGGGAAGGTAAACCATCCTTCATGGTCAGCAATGACAGAGAACTGTGCAACTCAACCAAAGACGGCATTTCAGACAGCATTGTCCAGGAAGTCATTTTGCTGGTCTAAATGCTGTTTTGTGGGCAGACATGAACCCCTTGGACCATCTCAGTAATGAACAATTCATAGCGAAATACAGGCTGACCTGGGGTGACATAATGAGTGTCCTTGGTCTGAATGGTGCAGATTAAAGTGAAACACACCAATTTTGCCCTCAGTCCACTATGCAGCTTCTGACAGCTCTCTCTTTCTATGCCATTGGTGGATACTTGCAGACCGTTGGTGATGCACATGGCCTCAGAAAGGCTGCTTTGTCTAGATCTGTGTATGCGTTTATCAAATTTCAACCATGGGTATAACTATATACAGTGCCCTCCACAATTATTGGCACTCTTTGTAAACATTTTTGGAAAGGGTTAGAAAAAATCCATCTCACGCTGAAAAGCCATATCCAATATCCAAACTTTCATTGAAATAAATTTAATCAAATAAAAACAAATCCATCATCAAGAAATAATTATTTAAAAAAAAACACATGAACAACAATTATTAGCACCCCTGGAAATTATAGTGAACACAATGTAACTGAAGCATGTTTTCCTTAAGAATTGTACATCTTTGAGTTGATTAGAGTGTGTAGGGACATTCAAGCTGTAATCCATGACTTCCTGATTAACTGGGGTACAAACAGGAGGTGACACAGAGGCCAAATTCCTTTAGTCATCCATCAACATGTTAAAGATAAGAGAACACACAGACCAAATGAAGGAGAAGTGTACTGAACTTCATAAGTCAGGGAATGGGTATGAAAAATAGCTACCCACCTGAAAATGCCAATTTCTACTGCTAGGGCAATAATAAAAAATGTGCACATCAACCTGATTAAATTTATTTCAGTGAAAGACTGGATTTTCCTAATTTTTTCAGTGTGACATGAAGCTGCTTCACCAAAAGGTGGATTTTTTTTCTAACCCTTTATACAAATCTTCATGAGGGGTGCCAGTAACTATGGAGGACACTGTTCCAGATGGAGGTGGTACCATGTATGACACTACAATTGGTTTTCACGCCATGGCAGGCATTGTAGGTGCAGTTGATGGAGCGCTCAACCCTAGTCATACCTGCAGCTTCTCGAATCCCATCTGCAGCTGTCAAATAGGGTTCATGTCACTAGGCCTAAAGGTCCAGGTGATATGCAACCATCAAGGACATATACCTGCTAACTCCAGTGTTGAACCCCCAAACAGTGGGTGAGGAGAGGAGTAACACCTCACACCAAAGAACACAGACTGCCGTAGAGGGCGCTTTGGGCATGTGGGTGATGCGATTCTGGTGCCTACACCAGTCCTTGGGAGCTCTAAGGTTTCCCCCCAAACAAGGCTGCGCTGTTATTGTTGTGTTATATCCTGCACAACATTGCAGTAATTTTTTTATTCAAATATATTTTTGACCACCTACTCAATAAGTTGTTTTGATAAGTTGTACTTCCTTTCCCTATTGCTGCTTGCTGATATTCTTTTTTACAAGGCAGAAAATCACATTTTGAGCCCATTTATATATGTTTAACAAATAGGCAAATTTTACCCTTAATTTTGGTTGCTTCGTGTGTGTTTTATTGATTTTCTAATTACATTTTTTATATATTTTGCATTGTATAATTTTTACATTTTACATTATGTGTATGAGGTGACAACTATATATAACATATATTTCACCATTTTAAATACGTGTACGTGTTTTTAACAGTGTGTTTTTCGTATCTGGAAGCTGGGGAGGAGCTAACAAAGTACTACTTAAAGTTTGTTTGTTATTTCTGGAATAACGAAGGGTTCAGGGAAACACACGCGAATCTCGTTCTTTTATCTTCGTCGTTTGTTAGCTTCGCCCGGGTTCTCAGAAGCTTGCTTAAGGGTACGTCATTCGTAAGTTATATCTTTAAACACATAACTTACGAATGACGTATCATTAAGAATATTCGGGAAACTCACCCGTGGTCCCCAAAACGTCCTTAGTTAAGTATATTTAACGTAAGATATTCTTTCGTAAGGTTGGCCTGAGCCAATCTTGGGTGACTTTGCAACAATAATTAGTTCGTTATCTATAGTACTTAAGATCAATCGTTACTTAACACGCGTTTCCCGAAACCTTTCGTAACTAAAGTAGTTCGTTATCTCTTTCGTAGATTTACACACTCGTTATTTTCTATATGTCGTTCTTTACTTGGACTTTTGCCTGCTGTCCTGTCACAGATATCGGCCAAAATAGATGACAAAAACACACTGACAATCTTTTTTGGACAACGTCATAATGCTGATGATATAATAAGAGGTCAATACTGCAATATAAAACTATAATGTCGACTATAAATTAGCACAAATGGAACTCGTTGTTGTAACACTTGCGTGCCATTTGGGTACATAACTGGGTTGTTATTCAGAAGTGACTTGAGAATGACCTTGAATAACAAATTCAATTCATAAATCAGTTGAAAAGACGGTACAGAATGACTATTAAACCTTGAATATAAGAAAGTAGAATTAAAATGAATT